CCAGTGTGATTCTGTCAGAATCACCACATTTTCATCCTCTGGTTTCCTCATGGCACAGCAAGTTCTGTCCTGCTGGGGAGGTTTGGCTCTCGTGTCATGAGTGTGCATGGAAGAGCTTTCATGACACACTTGGTTTTCTTACCCAGCTGTGGAAATGAGATCTCCAAATCCTGCTCCCTGTACATGGACAGATGTGCTGTGCCTCTTCTTTTAAACTGTTGTCTGAGATAGTCAAAGCCTCCTGAAAGCAGGGGCAGCTCTTCAGAGGGGCAGGGAAACTGGAGCCCAGAGAGGAAACAACTTGCTTACAGTGTGAGGTCAGCCAGGAGCAAACCCTCCTGCCTGCCCTCTCCCAAGAGCTGCTGTCTCTGCCTCTGTCCCTGTCCCAGACCTGTATTAATCCCATCTGAAGGCAGAAGTCCCAGTGAGACACTGGGAGTTTGGTTGTCATTTACTGTAGGGAGCAGCAGAGCAAGAGAGATTCAGCCCTTGGAATTTTGTCTAAACTGTCACCAAAATAAGAAACACTATAAACTGAGTATCAAAAAAAAAATCATAATTTAGCAGAATCAGATGTTCAAAGGATTGTCTACAGAGGCCTTTTTAGACAGCTTTGGTAGGGAGCAAAAGGAAGTCAGCAAAGATTTCCTTCTGGTTTGCGTTCCTTTGCAGTGTCCCAATCACATTAAATTGAACAAAACCATGTGAGAAGATTGGGTTTGTTGCTCAATGTCAGCTCGAGCTGAGGCAGGCAGAGGAGCTGCTACATGATACAGTGGTGGGACAAGGCCTTTGGTGAATTCCTGACAGTCACTGATATGCCACTCTCCCTGAGACAATGCAGGGACATTTCCCATCTCGCTGTGAGCCTTGTTGAGCAAAGACCTCCCCAGAAACATCCCTGACATCGTTGTGGTCAGCGGGGATTAACGATGGGGATTAATGATCCACATCCAAGGCTGGAGCTGCTGGCAGCAGGAAGAGGGGACAGAAATGGGGCTGTTGGCCCAGAACAGCTTCTCAGAGGGTCTGGGAGGCTCGGAGAGAGCGCTGGGGCTGGAGCGGGGCTGGAGCAGGGCTGGAGAGGGGCTGGAGGAGAGATGGAGTAGGGACCTGGGAAATCATCTTATTTATTTCCTATGAATCTCTCTTTTTGCCTGCTAATAATGTAGTTCAACATAAATTGTAATAATATTTAAATTCAAGAAAGCCTAGCCCAGATTGAAAGATCTAAATTTCAAAATTGCACTGATTTCCCCCTGTATAGATATGTTGTAGCTACAGGTGATCACTTACAGACTCTTTAGAGAATTTGCCCTGCTTTCTGACTCTGCTGGCCATTTATCCTTTGATTTTAGCACAGTTAAGCAGTGTTGCAGCCTTCAGCTGTGCAGAGATCTGCTCTTTGTGCAGCACAGCAAAGGTGAGCCTGTGTTTCACATCCCCACTGTCAGCTGCTTGGGTCATCTCAGCACTGGGTAGGGGATGGTTTAGAAGGGAATTAACTCCTCTGGCTGTAAGTGCTGTGATTTGGAGCTGGGCCTGTGAGTTTTGGAACAGAGCAGGAGAAGAGGAGAGTTTCACTGCCTGCTCTGATGGTTGTGGTGCCAGGGCCATCCCAGGGCTGGAGCTGGGTGTGTAGCTGAGCAAACTCACAGCTAAGGGCACATCTGCTCATTTTTGCATGCAGAATTACACAGGTGCCTTCAGCAAATGGCACTCAAATCCTCTCCTTTCCCAAATTTGACTGGTATTGGTCCATGGATGGAGCGCAGAACGAATTTGATTTCTGCAGAGGTGAGATGATGCTTTTAATCGTGCCACACATTTCCATTTTGTTTAGAAACCCAATCATAGCAGCAAACCAAACAAGAAAAGTCTCCTTGTTTTTGGAATGATGTTATTTGTTTATCTGCCAAAGTGCTTTGCATTTCCTCAGGTCACAGACCAGCCCATGTCTGGCTGTGTTAATATTGTAAGAGTCGGGTAAAAGCAAAGTTTAAGAAAAATCTTTCAACTGAAAGAAATAGGATCTTAAAGTCCCAAAATAGAGTCTGGAAAGGTACACATCATGTCTGGCTTCTCTTTCCCCTTGTGGCAAATGTGACTCAAAGGAGTTGGGTTTTTTCCAGCTCGATCTGTATACAGTTTGGGGGAGTTTTATTGTGAATAGGTCACCTTATAATACACAAAAATATTTCCTCCCAGAGTTCTATATTCATAAATCTTTCTTGATCCTCGCTCTCTGGAAACTGAAATCCAGATGATTTTGTTTTCTCCATGGAAAGAAGAGTGAGAGAGAGTGAAAGCACACCTTGGTGTGGGGCTGGTGCTCCCCTGGAAGGGCTTGGAGGGAGCAGCTCTGATGAGCAGAACACAGAGATTTTGGATTTTAGATCTCTGAAACGCAGAGATTTTAGAGCAGCTTGGTTGTTGCTAAGGGAGGAAACAATGAATTTCAAAGTTAGTGTTTTAGAAAGCATTTTAAATCTTCACTTCTCACAGTTTGTTTAAGGGTCAAATTTATTCCTCCTTTGCTTCTCCAAAGAAAAGATCAGTGCTGTGGTTAAATATTAAAGCAGCTGCCTGGGGTAGTGGAGGTGTTTATTGACAGTGACAATCTTCAGCAGTTCAGTTTTAGGAAGAAACATCTCTGAAGTGTAGATTTGATGTATTCATTCATTCATTCTTGCTCACAGTGATTTTTCTCTACACAAAAGCAGCACAAATCCCCTGTCCCTGCCGAGCAGGGTGAGCATCACTGGTGCTGCTGAAGAGAGAGCTGGTGTGACAGGACCAAAGCTCTGCTAAGCTGGTGGTGAAGATGAGTGTAAAACTCTGATTTTAGAGCTCCTGGAGTGTTTCTGTCAGCTGTTCATCTCCATTTTTTTAAATCTTAAGTCATCCTGCTGTGTTCACAGCAAGTGAAAGGTAGATGGAAATGGTTATTGTAAATGATCACCTATATTAGCCCTGAAAATGCAATTAGCTCAAGGATAATCCATTTTAAATGGGGACATTTGACTTTTTTCATATATTTTTTCTCTTTGTATTTGCATTTTATAATGATATTCTGAATTTACAATTACATCATCCTACAGCATTGCCATAATACCATAAATTACCAAAAAAAAAAGTAATTTTTTTCCACTGACCAAACAACTGATTTAAAGTCTGGTTCTGTGGAGGATCAGGAGGCCTTTTACTGTGTGTTTTATGCCCCTGGGCCAGCAGATAATACAGACAGTGCCATATGAACAGGGAATCAGTTCTTCTCTTCTTTAAGTCTGTGTGCATTTATACAACACACACCCACAGACATGCACATTATTGGACAACCATGAGCAGTTTTGGCTTCAGAACTTATTCTGTATATGAGCAACCACCACTTAAAATTACTTTTAAAGGTGGTCAGCATTGAACCCCAGTACGTAGCCAGTTCTGTTACAGCTGCCACTGACTGTGCTCACTGGGGGCAGATTTTCTTTTGTAATTTATTATCTGTTTTCCTCCATTTCAGTCTCCCACCCATAACTCAGGGATTTTGTTCTGCCAGGGCAGAGGGGAGAGCACAAGCTGCTTTGCTGTCCCTGCAGTAACCCCTCCTGTCCAAAGGATGCTCGTTGTTGTAGCTGGATCCACCAAGAATTATCTGTCAGGCGTGACAATAAACAGCTCAGTGCTCAGAAACTGCTGTTCCCCTTGTGAACACAGGTTGGTTTGGGTGGAACAAGGGCTTTGCACTGAAGGGCAGGAAATGCTGGATTTTGGGAGTGCCATAGTTAGGGTGAGTTTGTGGCTCCCAGTGGATCTGGGCTGTGGAGCAGCAGGGCTGATTGCTCCATCAGTGCCTGTTCCCAGCAGATCTGTCATTCTGGCCTCTGCTGCCTTTCATCTCCCGTCTGCTCTACCCATTCCTGAATGTGCCTACGGCTGCTGCTGTGTTTATCACATTCCTGGCCCTCCCTCAGCACCAGCCCTGGCACTCCTGCCCCTCCCTGGCTCCCAGAGCCAGCTGAGGGTTTGCACAGAGCCTCCTGCCCCATTCCCCTCCTCCCCATCTCCAGAACAGCCAGGTGTGGGAGTGCTGGGCTGGGCTCTGCAGTTTGCTCTTGCTCCAACCCTTCAATGGAGCCATTCATGGAGCTGTTCCTGCCAGGGGAGGCTGGAGGGTCTCTGGGGCACAGCCCCTGTCTGTGCTGCTTCCAGGATGCGTGCTGGATGAGGAGTGATAGCTCTGCAGAGGGAGAGCTGCTTGCATTTGCCGTGCTGGAGGAAGGCTGCCAGCACTGCATTGATGCTGCATGTGGTCCCCTTCCAGGGGGGAATTAATCCTTCTGTGCAAGGATACCTCCTGCTGACTGCTGAATAGAAAAAAGAGGAAAAAAAACCCTGGTTTGGCCATGAATACCATTAGCTTAATCTTCATTTTCTCTGATCTTCCAGTACTATTTGCTTTGTATGGCTTCATCAAGGTTTTGTATGTGGACAGAGTAATTGAAAACAAATTTAGCATGTCTCAGACCATAAAGTTCCCTTTCAGCTCGATCCCTGGCTATGTGGTAGATAAATGTCTGGTTCTCATTTTTGGTTATGTGAGAAATTTAGAATGGTTTGATTTGTAATTTTGAACATTAATAAAGGAGGAGAAATTTCCTTGTCTCCCTCTCTATGGAGGCATTCTAGTTTCCTTGCAGCAAAAAAACAAAACAAAACAGAAGAATCTGTGTCCTTGAGGCCTAGAAACCCCAGGCTCTAAGGCATCCTTGTGCTGTTCAGTCCCAGTCCCAGAATGCCATCTCCACCTGTACAGGTGGTGTTTTACTATAGTGCAAGAAGAATGGTTTTAGGTGAGCGAGCACCTGGGGGAAGGATGAGTTCAAAGAGCAGCGAACCAAAGCCAGATCCCCACATTTATCTGTGCATGTCTGCAAACCTCCTTGGTTCCCTGAAGGCACTGCAGGCCCAGCGTGTGACCCAGGTTTTCCATGTCTTGCCAGCTGCACGGGTACATGGAGAACAAACCCCTGGGGCTGCAGATCTTCATCGGCACGGCGGACGAGCGCATCCTGAAGCCCCACGCCTTCTACCAGGTCCATCGCATCACGGGCAAGACCGTCACCACCACCAGCTACGAGAAGATCATTGGCAACACCAAAGTGCTGGAGATCCCCCTGGAACCCAAAAACAACATGAAGGCAACGTGAGTAGATTTCTTTTTGTTAGCAAGGGTGAGGTGGATTTAGCTGGCACTGAAGCTCTTGCTCTTTGGAAAGGAGTCACTAAAAGGATAGTGATGCTCTGGAGGGACTCCCCTGTCCAGCACGTTGGGGTGGTTTATGGGGGCAAGACCCTTTGACAAAACCAGCTACAAGCACCTGGGTTAAAGCTGCTGGTGACCATGCAGGCACTTCTGCTCTGTATTGCAGTTTCTGCAGTGACTGTGCTGTAATCACAGAGTGGTTTGGGTTGGAAGGGACCTTAAAACCCATCCAGTGCCACCCCCTGCCATGGCAGGGACACCTTCCACTGTCCCAGGGGCTCCAACCCAGCCTTGGGCACTGCCAGGAATGGAGCATCCAGTGTCTCACTGATCCATCATCCTCATGGTCACAACAGGTTTGTAGTGCACTCAGGAAAGGAAGACTCGAATCTCAAGTCCTTGTGCTGCTGGGACGCAGTGAGGAACAGGGGTAGGATGCATTTCACAACATTTAATGGAGTACAAAACCTCTCTTCTGAACTCATTCAAGTGCTTTGGCCATGAGATCTCCTCTTATAATAGTTTAACAGAAAAGCAAGTACAGGCACATCTTGTCTGTATTACTCCTTCCAGTTTTATGGAGGCAGAGGGATGAAGTGGGCACCAGTCTGAAAACTTCAGCCTTGAATGTGTGCCAGGCATGAGAGTGATTGCTCTGCAGAGGGAAGAGCTGTATCTCCATCCTTCAGAGGAGCCTGACAAAATTGGCAGAGCGGTTATGTTTTTAAGCCCCCCTACTTCATTGCAAAATCCACATTCTTTCTTCATATTTTTAGAGAAAATATACCTAATTCCTAACAAGGAACCCTGGAATAATAAACCCCTGCACATATGCAAGAGCTAGGAACAGTGTGGGTGTAGGAAGCAGCTTGGGGTTTATACCTCCCCAAATGTGATTTTAATTCATATCAAGAGAAGAGAAATGATGTGTTTTTAGAACTGATATCAAAATGGGCTGGCAGTGCCTGTTTAATAGCAGTGCTCACTGCCTGCTCTGAGAACTATTGCTGAGCTTGACAAATAATTGTCACATTTTCCTAAGACAGGCATGTTTGCAAGGTTACACTGGACTCTGGAGAAACCAGCCTGCACTTACACCACATATTAAGTTGCAGTGCTGATTTAAGCAATCCTAATCCTTCCATTGCTGCTCAGCCCCATCCTGCTCCCTGCAGCCTCCCTTCGTGCAGGGACACAGCGAATGGGAGAGGGAATATCTGCTCCTGCCTTGGCTGGGAGCAATGTCCCCGGGCTTTGGAGGATGACACAGGGCCAGGCTGCAGAACCCACCCTGTCAAAAGGAGGAGACAGCAGCCTGGTCCCTGCCTTGGAGCTGAATTCCTGTGCCTGGCTGGTGCAGGCAGTGGGATTCTGCATCAGCTGCTGGGCAGTCCTGGGGAGCTGGGCTCTGGGGAGAGCTGCTGATGGAGGCTCCTGCCCTGGGGAGGGCTCTGCCTTCTGCTCTGCTGTGCTTAGCACTGGGGGAACAAGACTTGGGGTTCAGGGCAGGAGCTCTGCTGTGCTTAGCAGTGGGGGAACAAGATTTGGGGGTTCAGGGCAGGAGCTCTGCTGTGCTTAGCAGTGGGGGAACAAGATTTGGGGGTTCAGGGCAGGAGCTCTGCTGTGCTTAGCACTGGGGAGACAAGATTTGGGGTTCAGGGCAGGAGCTCTGCTGTGCTTAGCAGGGGGGGAACAAGATTTGGGGTTCAGGGCAGGAGCTCTGCTGTGCTTAGCACTGGGGGAACAAGATTTGGGTGTTCAGGGCAGGAGCTCTGCTGTGCTTAGCAGTGGGGGAACAAGATTTGGGGTTTCAGTGCTTGGAGAGCAGCTGCTGCTGAGGCCAGAGAGTGGGGCGAGGTGCAGCAGCGTGCTGCACGGCTGGGGTTTCTCCCTGGGAACTCTGGATCCCAACCAGAGCGAGTCCTTGGAGCAGCTCTGAGCGCAGAGGCCGGAGTCCATCTGAGCAGGGCTGTGACTGAGGCTGTGTCTGTGTTTCGTTTGCAGCATCGACTGCGCGGGGATCCTGAAGCTGCGCAACGCGGACATCGAGCTGCGCAAGGGCGAGACCGACATCGGCCGCAAGAACACGCGGGTGCGCCTGGTGTTCCGCGTGCACATCCCCGAGCCCAGCGGCAGGATCGTGTCCCTGCAGGCGGCCTCCAACCCCATCGAGTGCTGTGAGTATCCCTGCTGCTCCTCGGGCTGCTCCTTGGGCCGCTCCTCGCTGTCCTCGCTGTGCCCACGGCTCTTCCCTCCGGGCACGAAGAGGTTGGGGGTAGGACGCTGTTGAGGCAGGGCGGTATGAAAGGAATCCAGATCAGAAGGTTTGAGAGTAGAACTCTGATTTATATCAAATACATAGCTCTTTTATAGAGAGTATCACAGAATAACCAGCTTGGAAGAGACCTCTGAGATCATCAAGTCCAACCTATGCCCTAACACCACAACTAGACCATAGCACCAAGTGCCAAGTCCAGTCTTTTTCTAAACATATCCAGAGATGGTGATTCCACCACCTCCCTAGGAAGACAATTCCAGTATTTTATTATTCTTTCTCTGAAAATTTTTTTCCTAATATCCAACCTAAACCTTCCCTGACGTAGCCGAGGCTGTGTCCTCTTGTTCTGTCAGTGCTGCCCGGTGGGAGAGACCGACCCCACCTGTCTAAACCTCCTTTCAGGGAGCTGTAGAGCTGTATTGTCTAGACACATTCTATTGATCCTGAAGTAAAAACATCTCACACCATTGGCGTGCAGTGAATGATGCTCAGTGGCAGAACTTACCTATAAACGATGTGAACAAGAGAGATAAAGAATTACTTACGTTCTTTCCCAACTGCTTCCCAGGCTTCTGTCTGGTTAGAAACCTTCGTTTTCTCTCTGACTGAACTGAGAATACCCACGGGGCAAGCAGCTCTTCAAGGGGCTTGTGAGGACAGCAGGCTCTATGCTGTGAGTTTGGGCTTCTGCAAAGTTCATTTATTGGTGCATTGCTGCGTGGTGCATTTATTAGTGCATATGTTAGTGGATACTGCTGGCTCTCGGAGCAGCGTGGGGCTGTGTGCAGGGACACAGCTGTGCTGCCCCCAGGCTGTCTGCTTTCCTGGCTTTATTCCCACTGGAGCCACAATCAGAACTTGTCCTCCACAAACTGGCAGGTGGCTGGAGGTTTGCATTCAGACTGGGCTGGCTCCAGGCACTGTGTGCCAGAGGAATGCCCAGATCTGGGCTGAGCTGAGATGCAGGGACAGCTTTGGTTCTGAGGCTCAGGTGCATTCCGGTCATTGTTTTTTCTAGCTGTCAGTGCCAAAGGGTGCACAGCTCAGGAGGCTGAAGCAGGGAAAACACAGGTGGTTCTGGTATTCCCCTGGGGGACAGAAGAAAACTGGCAGTTTTGATTTTTGAAGTGCAAATCCCATAAGTGTGTGAGCTCAGAACCTGCACCTCCCACTCGTTGTAACTGACTGGATCCTGAGAAAGAGCAGCCTCTGATGAGGCCCCCGGTGTCACAGTCATTTCTGGAATGGCTCTGCCCACTTTACTGGTTCCTGTGCATCCTGTGATGCTTTTTGTTGTTGAATGGTGCCTTTTTGGTGGTTTGGGGATTTCACAAATATGCAATGAACAGTTTTCCTCTGCTTTGCTGAATGAGTCACCCCTTTAGCAGAACCTGTCTTGCCATAAGTCATGTGAAGAAAGCCATTGAGTCTCTCACGTGTGAGTGTGTTTATTGAGATGCAGACTTTGCTTAAATACAACTGCTTAGAATGAGAGGAGCCAGTCCTGGGTGGGAAATCAAACCAGCTAGTGAGTTACTGAAGGCAGCTTTTTAAAAAGCAGCACAAATGAATAACCCAGGCAAGGCTTGGAGAGGATGATGGCTCTGGATGATCTCTTGGCAGTGATTCTGAGAAGGTACCAGCTGCCAGATTTCAGCAGCTGAGTGAAGCTCTGGGCTCTGTGATGGGGCAGGGACAGCAGTGGGAGTAGCCACCGCCTCTGTCCATAGGAAATTGTCCTGTTCCTTCGTGGGAGCAGTGGCTGAAACAATAGTGGCCTCCACCCCAAACGTGTCCCTGCTGGAACAAAGCTCCATTTGCCAAAGGAAGCGCTCAGTGAGGAGCTCCTGGGGTGGGGAAACTCCAGGTGGAACTCCTACACCCTGTGGGCAGGAAAACAGCACCGGGCAGGGGCAGGCTGGCCCTGGATCCCACAGGGAGCCCCACAGATCACCCCCCACCTACTCACATTCTCCTCAGGAAAAGCAAGCATGAGTAAGCCAGGCATTCCCACAATGGCACCTTGTGTTTGTGCCATCTCTGCATTTCAAGCAGAAATCCAGGCATGGTTTGCAGAATAAATCACATTTTTTCTGAGCTGTATGCACACACCTAATTTGCCTGTGCAGTGACTGCTGTGGCAGAGCCTTGGTCAAGATGTTGAGGCATTTGTTCTGAGATGTCTTTGCACTGAGGAGTGTTGGGGGTATTAAAAAGCCAAGAGTGGAGCTACCAGTATAAGTGGCTTATTGTTAGTGTGGTTTTTTTTTTTTAATAATTAAAGTATTAAAATGTTGGCTGCATAGAAGACAGCAAAGCTTCTACAAGAAAAAAAAAAAAAATTGATCCCCAAGGGAATAAAATGAGAAAGTTTTATTTTTGGAATAATAGATATAAAGGCAGTTTGGGGAGATATGTTAAGGACTGCTTTTCTGAACTCAAGGAAGCAGGGAATGAAGTGATCTGGAGTACTAAGCCTCTGCCATTTAGTGTGTATGTTGCAGTTCTAGCACTCTTTTTGCATTTCAGTGGCCCTTCCTGATCTCAGCCTGGTTCTGGGAAGATAGTTGAAAACATCAGGGGGCTCAGCCAGCATTAGCAATGCAGCCTAGATCTCCCTAGAGGTGGTGAGCTCAGCTTGTCCCAGCTCTGCACACCTTGCAGGGCTCCCAGGCACTCCCAGGAAAGCTCAGGGGCCCTGCCAAGAAGGGGCCCTGGGGCTGGGGGATGTTTTCTTCTTGTCCCACCTTCTGTGCTGCTGGGGTTCACTTTTCCCCCACTTTGTTTTCTGGTTTGTTTGGGTAGTTTTTGGCCTGGCCACCTGGGAGCTCTCCTCAGGACCCCTCCTGTCTGGTAGCAGCAATGATGTCCCTCTGGGAGAGCCTTGGTGAGCAGCAGCTCCAGGACCAGGGCCCATTTCCCTTCCCAGGGCTCCCCCAGCACTGTTGCTACCAACAGAGTATCCCAGATCTCCTCCCAGAAGCTGATCCCGAGGAATTCCCACCAGTGTCAGCAGATCATTAGCTGCAGTGAAGCAAGAACTGTGAAACAGCTGCTTTTCAGAGGGCTGCTTGATTCCACCTCATCTGTGTCACATTCAGCACTTGACAGATTTTCGGAGGGGATTTCGCAGGTTCAGAGCATCATCCGGAGCAGTTCCTCCCCAGGCAGCTGTGTGGGAGGACGAGGGGGTGATGTGTTGTTAAATGATCAGTCCTGCCTTAAAATGGACCTCAGACCCAGACCAGCCTGCACAGTCCAGCAGCTTTTCCCTGCTGTTGGCTCATCCTGAAGCCACCGAGGAGGCAAAGGCGTTTGAAATCCCTCGGACAATTGTAGGGACGGGCCGTGGCTCAGCCAGGTGAGGAAGGCACGCTGCTGTAGGTGCGTGCTGGAGGGTGAAAGATCCCTTCTGCTGGTGCAGGCTGAGGCAGGGAAGTGGCAGCGAGCCCCACGGGGGTGGCTGGGACCAGAGCCCGTGTCCTGCTCCTGCCCCTCACTCTCGGTGTCTGCGTGTCCGTCCCTGCTGGTGACATTGCAGCTGAGGGGTGGCTGAGCTCACCTGTCCCTTCAAAGGCAGCCCCCTGGGAAATCGCTCCTGGAGAGGTTTGGCACTTGCAGCCTGCTGTTTCTGAGCCACGAGGATGGTTCCTGTGACATCAGCTCCGTTCTTTGCTGTCACCAAGAGCTGGAGCTCAGTCCTTGGGGAGTGGGTGGGCTCTGGTGTTACAGAAATTGCTGACACAGGGATCCCCTCTAAGAGACAGATTTCTCATGACCTCTGGGAGCTCAGGCTGGGTGCCCCAGTTCTCTTTCCACTCCTCAGCTGAAGCATCCTGGAGCAGAGAAGGAGCAGGGTGGAATCCAGGGCAGTAGGGCAGCTTGTTGTGCTCCGTGCTGTCAGCCACCAAAAACTGCTTCCTGCAAATGTCTCAGTGTGTCCTCCTCTGTGCCCCAGTCGTTATTCTAATGAATCCTGTTAAACCTTCCAAAGCCTGTCACAGCTCTTGCTCTGTGGAATCCGTGTTTGCTGACTCCGAGCTGTGCTTGTGAATCCCTTAAAATGCAAACTTAAATTGCACTTGGCACGAGAGAAGGAGACTAAAGTCTTGTTCTTATAATAGATGTTCCGAGGTGGTAAAAAAGCAAAACAAACAAAACTTATTGCTAAAGAACCGTGTGTCCATCTAGAGGAATGTAAATAGTTTCTATTATTGACCGTATTTTGTTCCATTAAATTGGGTCAAATTTCTTATTTCCCTTCAATCAATTTCCCTGGAAGTTTCCTTTATTTTTCTCTCCTTCTAGTAGATTTTCCCATAATATTAGACAATCTGAGCCTATGATTTGTGACACATTAATAACTACAGAGGAAAGAGCTAGTCATGTAAAAGAATGTTGTCTTGGCAAGGCAGCGAGTGCTTTTCCTCAGCTGGGAGTTGTGCTGCTTGGAGCACAGCAGCGGGCAAGAAGGAGCCCTGCTTTATTCAGATGGAAAAGCAGAAACAAATGGTCTCTTTGCACTTGGGAGATACCTCTTTGCAAGTGTAACCATAACCATGATTGTTGTGGGAGTGTCATGGTTTCTGGTTGAATTAAATTGATTTTTCCCCCTCTTTCATTTCAACTTCAAGACAGTCACACAGTCGGCTGCAAGTGCAGCTGACAGAAAAACTGCTGCTTTCTCTAAAGAACATCTTCTCTCTCCTGAAGCACAGCGTGTAAAAGCTAATTCTGACAACATTTGCCACTCTGAGCGTGCAACTGAAATATTTCAGTCTTTAAAGCTGCAGGCAGAGCGAAGGGGATGCCTGCCCCTCCTGCAGGCTGCCAGGGCTGAGCTCCTGCTTGCCTCTTGTCTCTGCTGGTGGAAAGGAGCCAGCAGAGCACAGGGAGCTCTGGATTGCTGAGCAGCATTTTGGGGAGCACACCCTGCAGCAGGACTGGAGGGGAATGGGGAATGCTGTGCATGCCCACGGAGGTGGCACAGGGTGAGCCCAGCCGTGCCTTTCTGTCACTCTGCACAGGCTGGCTGCTGGGCTGGCTGCACTTCACAGAAAGCATCACACTGATCTGACACTGTGCCACGGCTGCTTGTCACTCCTCCCCTGCGAGGACATCGTAAATTATCTGCAGAGGAGGAGGTGGAGAAAAGCTCTCTATTTTTGGTGCTTTTTGCTTGGATGGCTCTGCACAAACTGCTGATTAAGTCTTGCTGGCAGCAAATTAGAAACTGTTGTCAGTCACACTGTGTTCTTCTTTTCAGAGTGTTTAGACCACATTCTCAAGGTTTCCCCATGAGGGCTGGAAATTAGCTTTATTTACTTGGTTTGTGCATCTTCCACTGCTCCATGCTCCTACCAGGAGGGAAATTATCCTGTCCCTCTGGTCAGAAATTTGCTTCTCTCTAGGGTGCTTTGCTGATGTCTCCCTGGCTGCTGGAGATGTCTCCTGCCCTTGGTCCTCCCGTGGCTGCCCAGCCTTTGTCTTCCCCACCTCAGAGCTCAGGATGCTTCAGGGAGTGATGGAGGGGACCAAAATCTCTCAAACATTAATGAGCTGGATAAGTGTTGAGCACAGCAGCTCTGCTCCTGTCAATCCTACCACAGGCAGCTTGTGGTAAATAAACCCAGTGTGACAGCAGGAATGAAATATTTGCTTTGGCTCATTGAGGTTTGCACCGAGGTGGAAGAATTAATCCCATAACAAATTACACCTCTGCTGTTGCTCCCAGGGGTCAGGGTTCCTTTAGCAGCAGACATCCTGCTCTATCTGCTCTTCTCAAACCCAACAGGAGTCAGTGGCTGTGTCAAGAGCCTCTGGAGGTTTGGAAAGACATGTCGGGGTGGTGAGTTCCAGCTTGAAGGCTTCCAGCAAGCTGGATTGAACTGGGGCTGCTCTGGGCAGGGTAAGGACCAGAGAGGGATCTGAATAATTGTTCTGGTGAGGCCACTGCACTGGGGGGCCAGTTGTGACCCCACCTCTTGAGCAGCCACATTTTTGATTATTGGCTTGTCAGTTAATCAGAGGTAGCAGTGGCTTTGTCCTCGCTGAGCTGCAGGTGAGGCTCAGTCCTGCTCCTCCTTGTGACACCGATCAGGTGTCACAAGGGCAAAGCCTCTGATGGTCAGCAGTGGGACAGCAGAGAACTGAAGCTCTGGAGTCAGGTGTTGGAGAGTGTGGAGGGGCTCCACTGCAGCAGAAGTTCATCACAGAGTTATAGAATGTCTTGGCTTGGAGGAGACCTTAAATCTCCTCCAGTCCCACCCCGTGCCGTGGGCAGGGACAGCTTCCACGAGGCCAGGCTGCTCCAGCTGGGACTGTCCCGTGTCACCTCCCAGCAGCAATGGGTGGCACCCTCCTGGGGGAGATTTGGAGCTGCATCAGACTTGTGCAGCTCATCAGTTTTCTCAAAACACCATTTTCTTTCCCCTGAAGGCCAGATCTCCTCTCTGCTGCAGCAGGAGAGGTGTGGATGCTGTGGGGAGGCAGGAGCCACCTTTGGCTGCCTTGGCTGGGTGTGCATCCCCTGTGAGCTGCCCAGGGATTCAGCCACGCTCAGCTCCTCTCCAGCTGCAGGCACAGGGCAGGGGGCTGGAGCTGCAGGAGTGGGTGGGCTGTGGGCAGCAGGGGCTGCTCCCTGCAGGCTGAGCTCCTGCAGGGCTCTGACAGGGGCTCCCTTTCTGCCCGGTGTCACTGCGTGCATTGTGTTCCTTGGCACCACGAATCCATGACATCTTGATTTGCAAACAGTCAAATAAAATAGAAAAATAATGTCCCCTGTTAATAGGTTGACACACTGCTTCAGGCCAAGTGTGAGTATTTCTATAGCATTTGCTTTGCTGCCTTGTGTCAGTAACTGTTGCTATTGAAAGTAAACACCCCAACTGGTTAAATCAACAGTGTTTTGTTTATTCAAAGCTCATAAACTCCAGTAGCTGTAGGTCACTTTATGAAGTGCCAACCCCTGGGGGAAGAGAAGGAATAGTGTGAAATTATTGCATGCAGTGCACCCATCATGAGCCTTAGAGGAAGGGGATTTATTAGCAATTAATATTTCTTGCAGAGGAAAAAAAAATAATCCTACTGAGGCAGCTCCACACTGAACCCTGAACCTCTGTATGGTGGAAATGGGGAAGGGGGTAAAGCCTTCTTACAGGCTTGGGTGAAAAAAGAGACCTTGGAAAATGAAAAGTGGTTGGGGTTTTTGTTGTTAGAAAAGGGTCTCGGACCACCCAGAGGGAGGAGAAGAATTCAGGTCAAACAGGGCAGGGGAAGCCTGGGTTGGTGTTGGGGAGCCCAGCGGAGCCCCGTGCTGGGACTGCTCTGCCGAGGCACAGCAGGTTCCACACCTCCTCCTGGCCCAGGGCAACTCTCCTGGGGTGCCCACGGCCGTGCCAGGTGCCCCAGCTCCAAATGGAGCTGAGACGGGTCAGAGTCACTTCCAGGCTGAAATCTGTCCTTCCTCATGCAGAAAAAGCCTTGGAAACCACTGATCTGGGATGGCAGGTACCAAGCTCTCCATTAACACAACAAAGCTGGAAGGAGATGTAGGTTAATCTGGAATTTTGATGACTTAGGATGTTTTGGAAGCAAAATTTGGTGATTGAATAGGAATAAGGAGTGTCCAGAGCATTACTTAAATACTTAAATGTTTTCTCTTGACTGTTGTAGACATGCTTTTTAATGATTGCTGTCTGCTTTTAAGCCTTTGAGGTTACAGAGCTGTCTTTGTGATAAATCCAATTAGGAACCCATCAAAAATGTGAGTATTTTGGGAAATAAATTAATCCTACAGCCATGTGAAAGAAATTATCAGCGTCTTTGAAAGTAATCTGAATATATAGTTTTTAACTGGCAGTATATTAGCCCAGATGTTACATACTTGAAAAGAACAATGAGTCCTAAAGTAGTTTTAAATAGATTTCAAAAATGCCCTCTCAAATGGCATAAGAAAGTTACAATATTGAATTACCTTTATTCTTTACTCAGAGCAAAATCTGTCTCGTGACTGAAGGGTTCAGCAGAGCTAGCAAAGTTGCTGTGAAAGGTTTAATGCTTGAGTTTTCTCACCAAATACTGCAACGTTTTCTCCAGGTGACAAGAGAATTTTGTGTTTGGGAGGGTTGCAGAGCAGCAGAGCAGTGCCAGGTCGGGTCAGAGCTGCCTGGGCGTGGGTCAGGGCCAGCACGGCACATCCAGATCACTTTTCCTCATTCTGCCTCGGCAGCCAGCGGTGCTGGGGAAGACACGAGTGCTCAGGGTCTCCGTCAGGGAGAGCTGGAGTCCAGCCAAGGCAGCTGGGAAAGAGATGAGCAGGATCCTCTGGAGGCCCTTCAGTTGGGCTGGATGGATCTGGAGGAGTCGGAGTGCAGGTCATGAACTCGCAGCTCACCAGCCCCACGCCGCTGCCCACCTGCTCTGCTCGCAGGGAAGTGCTGATGTTTTCCAGCTGTCTGTGCTGTAGGGAGCGGTTCTCCCATCCCCACTGCCTTCAGCTCCTGCTGTTCAATAGCCAGCGCTGGGGATGGCTCTGCAGGACGCTCACCAGGGCTCTCCAGGGCTTCTCTGAGCATGCAGTGGCTGTTTTAGTGGCATCAGAGGGAAGTGGCTGGAGAGATGGTGCTGAACTGGTTTTCTGGCTGGGGAAAGAGAGAATAACTTGCTAAAGTCACGCTCCAAATTCTTGGCCAAGAACAGTAAAGACCTTAGAAAGCCTTGCTGACATCCGTGTCCATCTGGATCCCACCTTAGCTCTCCTTCCCTTGCCTTTTACAGCCTGCCTCAGTCTGTGACACAGGGCCCTGCTCCTCAGGTGTTCAGGCTTCTGCAGAGCATGTTTGGGGAATCCTGGGGTGCAGCACTGCTGGGGTGACCCCTCCTGACCACCCCTGGGGCTCCGTGGCTGCCCCACCAGGGCTCGGTGCCCGCACATGGCGATGGAGATGGAGCTGTTGTTGGCAACCCCCCGTGCCAGGCCCTGCCCTCTGGGATTTTGGACAGGAGGTTCATTTTTTTTTTCCCCTCTGAAGGAATTCAGTGTTATTCAGTGGAATCCTCCGTGCAGGTGGAATTTTTGGGCTCTGGGGCTGCAGTGTGCCTGCACTTGAAAATTTGGCCGTTGGCTTGGAAACAGGCATGGGCAAGTTTCAGCTCATTCATCCAAGCTGTCCTTTCTCAAGGACAAGGAGCAGGGCCAGCACAGCTGAACCACTGCAGCCAACTCCTGAATGTTTCCAAATAAAATGCCTTGAGTAAGTTTATTTTTCCCTCTCAGACCTAAATTTAGCACCCTGGAGAAGCTGCTTTGGCAGTCAGCGGATGGTAACGATGACAAGATCGATCTGTGGATAGTTCTGGGAAGATTTGGAAAGTCCTGGTAAAACAGAGTTGGTTTCATTCATGTTTGCAATTTGTCCACAGCCCAAAGGTCTGCTCATGAGCTTCCAATGGTTGAAAGACAAGACATTGACAGCTGCCTGGTTTATGGAGGACAGCAGATGATCCTCACTGGACAGAATTTCACAGCAGAGTCCAAGGTGGTGTTCACAGAAAAAACATCAGGTAAGGCAGGTTTTTCCTAACTTTCCCTAACGGGATAAAGCAAATCTGTACTGCCAAATGTCATCATAAGATTTGTGCTCATCACACTCAAGTGAGTAGTCCCATTCAAGTTCATGTAAGTAAAACCATGTGAGTAAAGTTAGGCTTGGGAGCAACTGTTTGTGTTGTTGCTTCACAGGAATCCAGGCACTGGGAATCAGCAGGGGCAGGATTTGTTACCAAAGAAAGGAGATGAGCACTGCATGTTCCTCTGTGCTTGCTTAATCTCATATTTAGTGAATGCTACTGTAGAAATCATCATTGAAATGAACAATTTATTGAACATTTTTATTGGACTACAGGCAAAGATTGTGTTTTCTTCACTTTAGAAATCTGTGGAAAAAAACTAAACATAATGTGTCTTTTTGTATAAATTAATTTTTATACAGAATGAGATACAAGAATCCATCCCTTCTCCTTGCATATTTCTTATTTTAAACTTTGTGTTCCCTTTTTGCTATTAAGAAAACATGGGGCTTGGAAGTTTTCTGTCAGTGAGCCAAGGTAGAGGTATCTTAAGTGATATATCCAGTGCCTTGCAAGGAGTTTAAGAGATTGCATTGCCCAAGTGAGCAGCGTGTGCATGACCTATGGGGTAATGCCATTGGAAAAAAGTGAGACTCGAGCCAAAAATGAATGTACATTCATTAATGTACATGGGCACCAGCTGGTGACATGGGGGGAAAAAAGCATCCTGTGGGTCCCAGCTCCTTCCCACAGCAGCAGCAAGCCAGGCTGGTTTTGCAGATATGAAAGAGCTGGGGAGGTTCAGATGAGCCTGTGCAGCCAGAGGATTTCTTTTGGCACGCTCTGTTTCCTTTCAAGCCCATGGATTAATTCCTTCCCACTGGGCTGCCACTGTTCCACCGTGTCAGCGCCTCGGGAAGGTACATGGGAACATCTTGGCAGCCTGCAGTGCTACCTGTCCCAAAAATGCTCTGCAGGAGCTGCAGGAGATGATCCACTCAAAGGAGGCAGCTCTGGTGCCATTTCGAGGAAACGTCCCAAACGCCCTGCCCCTGTTTCCATGTGAGAGCAGAGAAGGCTCTGGCTGGAAGAGATGTTAGAAAGTAAAAAGAACAACAACATTTTCCACACTAAATCTAAAGCTTTTATTCACTGCTGGGGAAACTGCAGGGTTTTTTCATCTTTTTTTACCTCCTGGTAGGGGAGAGACAGGGCTTATCCCAGCAGCAGTGCCCAGTCTGGAGCAGGGATTTGCTTGCTGGTGTTCCATATCCTGCTTCCCCCAAAACCTCGGCCTCTTCAGGCAGTCTCAGTCTGCTGGGCTCTGAATGAATGACTGGCAGAAGGGGATTTGGAGGATGGGAGGTCCAGAGTCAAATCCTCAGGCTGAATCAGAAGTCTGTGTGGTTTGCAGTGGGGTTATCTGGGGGACTCTATGCTGAGTGGTGCTCTGTGTGTTCCATAATGCAGCAGCACCTCTGGCAGAGATGCCCTGAGTGCTTTTAAATGAAGATTTCTTTATTTAATAGGTATATCCTAAGGTGAGGGAGGTTAAGAAGCTGAGCTGGACGTGCAGATCATGCATGGGCTGAGTGCAGCAAACTGAGAATTGCTTTGTGCCTGGCTTGTCAGAGGCTGGTGAGTGTCCCAGCTCACCTGAGAATCAGGATCTTGTGCACCTGAGGCTTTCAGCCCCCCTCATTCTGCACTGTGGACAGTTCTAGATACCTCTGGGATGTGTGTGCAGAGCTGCCATTGCCGTGGGCTGCAGGAGCCCAGAGCAGTGAGCACTGCTCTGCAGCCCGGCTGTGATGGAGCAGCGGGTGGGAGGAGGAGCAGCTCACCCACGGCTGCCCTGCCCTGCACAGCCCGTGCAGAAAGTGCTGATGAGCTGCTCAGGGGCAGGGGAAGCCACAGGCACCGTGCTGGGGGTGGATGGCAGCCCAGCTCTGCTGCCCCAGCTGCAGCTGCTGCATCTCTTCCCGAGCACACCGCTGCCTGTGAGACTATCACACCTTTGTCAGGGCAGGAAGATGCAGCAAGCTCGCAGGGGAAGCTTGGTTTGCTTAGAGTTTCATTTTAACAGCTCACAAGCCTTGTCAGTGCTAGCAAGTGGTGCTGGATTTCCCATTTTTGCCACCAGTTTTTGCTGTGCTGGTAACAACTGTCGCCCTGATTCTTGAGTTTTCTTAAGCCTTCTGAATTTACATTCTATTAGGAAACTTTCCCACACAGTTTCTGTAAATAATGTATTGTTTTGCATTCCTCCATGGGGGTGGAGAGACTTAATGTACTAGTGCTTTGTCCAATGTCTTTGGAGAGGTGGCCCGTTCACTCTCCAATCCACTGTCACCTTTGGAGAAGTATAAAAGTTGGAGTCAGAAAATAAACGCTCTCTTTTTTGCCTTGCAAGGTAGCAATTAGCTCGCGTTTGCTTTCTCGTGTCCTATAGCGACAAACAACAAGGGTGAGAGCAGCGGTGTGGGCGATCATCCCGCTGCTTCTGGCGTGCCAGGCTCCACAGAGCTCCTTGGCTCGGGTGTTTAGGGTGACAGTGGCAAGGCTCTTTTTTCCCCAGAAAAAAAATCTTTCTTCAAGTATTTTTGTGCAGCCAGATTTGCTGCTGTTCATTGTTCCAGACTCCAGACTCGGGGTGCTGTGGGTCTGGGACCCGGGTGAAGCCGTGCTGGGAAGGCGTCGCTCCCTTTACAGAGCTGAGGGAGCTGCTGCTTGGGCTCACAACTGTAAATTAGGCTTCACCCCTCAGGGGAACACTCAGAACCTCTTTCCATTTCCTCTGGATCTTGTAGACGATTCTTCACCCGCCACTAGCAAGGCAGAGGAACGTGGAACAGCCACATTTGTGACAAGAATGCGTGTCTCCGTGAGCAGTAACGACCAGGCTTTATTTGTCTTTTCACAGAATTGCAGATAGCATGTTTTTCCATAGAAATAAATACCTGGAAAGTAAGGGCCATTCCCCGAACTGGGGGGGATGTCATTGTGAAAGTGAGTGTCCGTGTCACGCGAGCCGCAGGGAGCTGGCAGGGGACAGGGCTGGGACAGGCTCACGGCAGGAAACAGCAGCAGGAAACGAGTGAAGGGGCTGCAGCTCAGTGCTCTGAGGGATTAAGTGCTCGTCTCTGAAATGCTGCTGCATAAATAGCATTCATTTTCTGCAGGCTGAAGTTTTTCAACATGCAGCCTCAGAGTTCTGAGTTCTTCTTACGGTTATCTTGCTGATGCGAGGTAGTAAAAGGTAACTGCTGTGAGCCAGGGGAACTCATGAATTCCCTGCACATAAAAACAGAGTTTGGCTGAGAGAGTTTGAAGATCTGAACTTGGAGACATGTAACTGAGCCCAGCTAAATTAAAGTAGGTCGGGAAAGCAACTAGATTGGATTGTATTCTTGTCATTTTGATCTGGAAGAGAAAGCTTGAAAAGCAGTCTTGGAGCTATCAAGGACTTGGAATAGGGTGAAGGTTAAGGGTGTTAGTGTTTGGTTGGGGCCCAGATCATACAGTGCAGTTAAAAAAAGAAGAGTTTTGGAATTCCCCCTTTTATTTATTTTAATTGTCATGTAATAATTTGCAAGTCAGATGCTGGTTGCATTGTGTTTACTCCCGTTTGTGTACTGGTTACTGCTGCTCTGCTGTCAGTGATAGAGGAGGTTCGTGTTTCTCGGGGAGAAAAGTGCAAATGGGCTGTAATTTCTCCTGCCAAACTCTTCTGGTGGCCACATGGACACCGTGAATCATCTCTAGGACCATGTGGGTGGTGGAGGAACAACCCAAACACAGCGTCCATCCTTGGAGAGGCTCCACCATAAATCTCCAGCTTGGGCAGGGGAAGGGGAGGAGGTGCTGCCTGTGCCCTTTGAACTGGGGCAGCTGCCAGGGTCCCCAGGTGTGGGCATCCACAGGACCAGATAAACCTGCCCAGCTCTGGAGCCCTGCAGTGGGGTTGGACACACTTGGATGTGTCCTGGCCAGGGCAGGCTCAGGCTGTGGTGTGCAGTGTGGGACTGCTGGGCTGAGCTTTTGTCTGCACAGTGCCCAAAATGCTGCATCCCACGTGCTGGAAACAAGCCATGGAATGTGTGCCTGCAGGACACGGTGGTGGGATGGCATCAGGGCAGGTTTCATGTGAATAGGTGGCTGCTGTGTGGGTTTGATGGCAGGATCACGCTCCTTTTGGGAGAGGTGAAAGGAAATTCCAACTCTGTCTACAGCAGTGCTCCCCTTTGTGCTAGGTCAGCTCCTCACTGTGCTCCAGACAGGGAGCTGAATCCCTTTTTGTATTCTGACAGTTTGGTGAATGATCCAAAAACTCCTGGGGAATGCAGAAAATAGCAAATGGTTTTCAGCAGCTAACCCTGTGAACTTAATAATGCAACATTAATGGTGCAATTTTCTCAGGCAAAATCAAGATAAAATAGACAAAAAGCTTTTTAAAAAACTTTCAGTTTTTTCCCAGGTTCATTCAAAAGAGATGTTTACTACTTGAACAAATAAACAACTTTAAATATTGAATGTGAGGGTAATGGGTATTAATCAGGAGGATTGGTTTGCCTGGTTCTGCTGTGAAATTAGAAAGTTTCAGGGTAATTGGGGCCTTTGCCCTGTGCCTTTCCTCGCTGCTGTAGCTGCTGAAAGCCAGCAAACCTTTCTCCCCAAAGGTTTCCTCCTGGCTGGAATGTGCTGCCTGCCCCAGGTGCTCTTGTAATCCTGCGGGGCAATCGCCTGACCGGGGATTCCAAAAAAACACTGCAAAACAGGAAAAAATCTAGGGCTCACACAGAGAAAAATGCAGGAGAGTGTGGCTGCAGAAACGGAGTTGCCATAGCTGTTGGAGACTCAGCGAGACAGGGTGGAATCCAGTGTTTTGGAAGGTTTCCCCGTATGACACAAGATTTTGGAATTTTACAGCTGGTAAATCCTTATTAACACAGGCAGCCACTGCTGGCCTGGATTCCCTGGCTCACTCTTGACAA